CGTAGAAGCGTATACACGTTAGACCTCACGAGTCTTGTGCATGGACCAGTGGGGGCCACGCTACTGAATCCTCCCTGCTGTCAGTGCTGTTTCAACCCATTTCGGACTAAAATTTGACCAATTCAGACAGTTACTTGACGGAAACGTGCAGTCATATATGGATGAGAATATGAAGGCGACCGAATAATCAAAAGTTATTTTGCTCATATGAAACATCACTCGTTCGAGCCTTGTAGTCGTCATGTTTAAGTTAGTGAAAACTTGTGTCAATTTTTCTCTTCTGTGGTTAGAAATTGATCTCCTTGTTATTAAATTATAAATTAGAAAAATTGATAGTAATAATCACAATTATTGGCGGTGTGCCCATAATAATTCCAAATATCGATTACTTCAGAATATTCCCAACTTTAGGGACCTTCCGCCAATAATAGTCTTTATAAATAAATTCTTGTAGTTTTTAAAGTGGATGAGAAGAGATATAACAAGTAATCCTTATAAATAATCCTAATTTTTAACTTTTACGCTTAATTTCTATTTAGAAATCACTTTTTGTAGGAGCTAATATCTGGTCATGGACCATTATTGACAGACGGTCCATATAGTTGGGATTATACAAAAATAATTAATAGTTGAGATTATTGTCGGCGGACCTGCAATAGTTGAGATTATTATTTTCAATTTTTCCTTATAAATTTCACATTTTCAAGTTGCTATTTTGATGTGTGTGCATGAATGAATTAAAATTCATCAGATTTTATCAATCCATGACCTGAAATATAGATGAACTATCAAACCAAAAAAATGATCGGTACAAGGTCTCAAAGATTGAAAATTATCAATCAAAGCATAACAAGATATTTTGGTTGAATTATTTCTATTTTTATTGAACGATAGTAGATAAATGGTTAGATTTCGATCTCATCATATAATAAAAGCGAGACGTAGTACTTAAGATTGATAGCAACGACACAACGTGCTTCTATACACTCCAAATGAATCACATAAGTAGTTGGTTGGGTGGTGTATATGGAGTATTTATATCAGCATATGACTTTTCCATGAGTTTAAAGCTATTCCTATTCATTTATAGTGACAATCATTCGGCCATTTAGTGCACATACGCGTGTAATCTTAGGCTCCTATCTTCATGTATACATATGGTACAAGTTGCTTGGTTGATGGGAGGCTAGAGATTGGAGTTGGATTTACTGAGGAGTGATTATATATTAGATTGACAATAATAATGATATGATTGAGCTAAGAAAAATGAAAAATTTATACAAGAGTTAAAGAAAAATCTGATCGTATTAAGCTTCAAATCATCATAGCCATAGACTCATAGTATTGAGTTTGTCAATTTTATGTCCATTAAAAAAAGGACAATTGTTATTATCCGGGTATGATATTTTTATGTTCATTAATCTTATAATATCCCCAAGCTTACATATTTTTGCGAAAGAGGGTGAGTTTTTAACGGTTTTAGATCAAACAACCCAAATAGAGCACTATATATATATATGGATGGATGTATGGGCGCTTGTCTTTAAAGAGAGAGTCAAAATCTTCTACCCAAAAGGTGGAATCCCCACCTCAAGCGCCCTCACAACTTGATCGGACAAAACGGTAGAGAAGTAATCAGTAATCGTGATTAGTAATCACGATACAATTTTAAACATAATTCAAAACATGCATTTTCTATGAGGATAAATAAAGTTAAACCATATATTGGGCCTTTTGAAAATTATTTGTTTTGAGAAATACGATGTCATATTGCGACTTTGAGAGGCATTCGGCTCCTCTATAGAATACTATTTATTGGTCTGATTTGGTGTAATATGTTTAAATCTGATTTGATTTGGTCTGATCTATTCTAGTAGGTGTCTGCTCAATGTGTATTTTACATTATCAAAGTATGGCTTAATTTAGTCTGATTGGATCGGTTTAAATATGATATGATCTAAGTGAAACCAATCCAATTAAAATATCCTTAGCTTACTATTACGGATGTCCATTTGCATAAGAGAGGAAGAGCAACAGAAATACCGAGATGCTAATAATAATTAAGTAGGATAGAACGCCTTTAATATTAGTAGATTAACATATTTATGGGAAACTTTCTATCATATGAATAAAACTCAACGAGTTTCCCGATCTATGATTTAACTAGTTTTTAGATTTTTGTATCACCGAAAATCCAAAAAATAAAAGAAGATTCATTTATATTTAAAGGTTGAATGACAAAAATACCCTATTTAAAATATGTGCATTTTGCACTAATTTCGTCCAATTTAAATTATTGTACTTTATATTGTCGACACTGCACAAAATTAATGCACGTCTTTATTGCACATCCGGTAATAATCATTGCATACTTCCGCTAAAAGTAATTCTGCCCTCCTTCACTTGAGGAATTTATTTTTGTTTTTATTTTTTGTTTTTTGGATTTAATAAGTTTATTTTTTTACGCTTAATTAAGTATATTGCATTTCATGATGATAGCACTGCTCTGTGTTACTGCAATACCGGTCACAATCAATGCACAACAAAATTTCTTATTGCATTCATTCATTGTCATGTACAATATGTCTATCACCATACATATTCACTGTCCATACTCAACACTTATTGAAATGTTCGTTCACTGATGGTGTTCAATGCCCATATTTAATGCTCAAAAACCCTAAATTCAATATAAAACATTAAAACCTAATCTCAAAAGTATATGCCGCAATCGCAAATATGATCTGTAGGTTGATATTGTCCTGCCAAGTTGACTACCAAAAGGGTTTGACAGCTCGCTAGGGGAATGAAACTACCAATTAAAGCGGGGTATTCGATCAAGAATTCAATTTTTTTTGTGACGCGATGGAGGTTGGGACGCGGACGGCAGCGCATAAGTCGGGGAAGGGGCACAAAGGTCTGGGACGGCGGTGCACCGATCTGGGACGACGACGAGGAGCGGCGGCTGGATGACGGTGCCTTGGGACCCTGGTCGGGCGGAGAACTGGACGATCATGCTACGTCGGATTTTGTAGAATGCGGCGGTGCTGGGCGGCTGGCGGAGGTTGGACGACGTGCGGCGACGTTTGGCGGAGTTCTTTGCAAAATATTATCTTTGTGAAAGGTGAGATTTATGGTATAATGGTGTGCAAAGATAAGAAAATAACTCGAAATAACAGGTCATCAACCGGTCAGGGATCAGTGAATGAAGATGAGGTGCAAAGGTTGGATTATTCATAAATAACGAAAAGGTTGGACTATTATAAGAAGACCGTTAAAGGTTGGATTATTAGTTTCCGTTTTCCCAAAATCCTTTTGATTAATCTAAATTATTACAGAGTATTTCCCAATTTGTGTATATTTGAAGTAGTGAATGTAATAAATTTGCCTTAGTTAAAAGTTAAAGCTACTACGTACCTTAGTACTTAAAGCTAGGGTGGGGAAAAATACCGAAATTTCAGTATACCGGACTTACCATATCGAAAAATACCGAATTTACCGAAATGTTTGGTATACCGACGCTTTTGGTACGGTATGATACTGTACCGAATTACTTTGGTATGGTATTGGTATATGTTTTGTAATCAAACGGTATACCGGTATACCGTCATACTGTAATTCCAAGTCAATAATTTCCTTAATATTGTAAAAATAACTAGAAACACAACACTAATTCAAGGATAAATGACTTTATATCTATGTTTCTTGAATTATTTATACTTTTTGTTGGAGATCGGTGTTATTTTAGTTATATTTATGTTGTTTAAATTATTTTAGCAGAATGTGTTGTTATCTTCATATATCATGTGTTGAAATATATATACATATTTATAATATTTTTTGTCAAAAGTTGAATAGAACACAAATATGTTATCTCATTGGTATTTTATAATTAATTTCATTAATGATTTTAATATATCACTATTAACACTTATTTTTTTTATTTCATTTGACATATAATAATTTGTTATATTAAATCATGGTAATTTACCGATACCATACCTTACCGTACCAAAATTTCGGTATACCGAAACAAGGTATACTGAAATTTCGGTATGGTAACGGTATGTATTTTTGCATACCGAAAGTTTACAGTATGATAAAGGTATGCGATAAAATATTCGGTATACCATACCGAACCACCCCTACTTAAAGCTGCTGGATCAAAATTGCAACAACCCCTATGTAAGCGATGTCGCCTATCTTGAAATCCACTTTGCAGACAAGTATTAAGTATATAATCCGTATGCTATAATTTGGATTTACCATACAACGATAGAATGAGAATTTCTTTAAGATATTTGTACTTTGACGGTAATTTATTGGTCTGGTCTAGTAATGTCTCGTTTCTTTGTATTTTTATAACTATTCAAGTCTGATTTGGTTTGATCTGGTCTGAACTGCTCTGATCTGGGAAAGATTACAGTTCAATTAAAAACATCCTTAATACGAAGTGTGAGTTATGAGTTTTTTCCGATATAACTTGAGCATATATTATACGCTCTCAATCATCTTAACATCATCCCATCTTTCCTTTTTGGCCCGTCTCACCAAGATTGACTCATAGCAAATTTGATAAAATTTGTGTGATTTTAAATCATTTTTACTTTATTAAATGTTCTTACTTTATCAATTCAAAAACTACCACATAAACTGTTGGAGGTATTGGTCCTACCAAGACCACTCTTCCACTTATTTATGTTAAGGCCTGCACCCTAAGTTTAGCCGTACTCCTATTATTTCCTCTTGGATTTGTTCACTACCTAATCACATGGCCTTGTTATTGTCTTGCTCGTTGCTATCCTATTCACTGTCTTTGTTGGGCTCCCCTTGGTTTGTCTTACTCTTATAGTTGATTAGTAAGACATCTTTTCATTTGCTATAAGAGTTGACTCTTATCATAGTAATGTGTGTAACGGCCCGAACCTATCCGGACACGTCAACAATCCACCGTATAGTACGAATAGTCAACAGCTGTCCAACACATCCATACTATACAAGGCGTCTGGAATATCATTCACACATAGTACATCCATAAACAAACATAATGTAAGATATTCATTTAAAGCAGCGGAAGTAATATAACAAATCTTCAAGCCACATTTGGCAAACATGGGCATACAAGCCCCCAAATAATTATTCAGAAAAATATTATCCATGAGCATTAATATAATTATTTTTAAAACAAAAATGGAGGAAGCACGAACCACGTCTTCTCTCCTTGATCTTCCCGAAGCAAATGGGCGATAGTAGCAACCTTCAAGTTCTACCTGAAACTGTGAGGTGGCCTCCCCCGTGAAGGGGAGGTCAGTACTTGGAAGCATTTGACAAGAGCAATGACAACTATACTAAGTATAATCAAAGTTTCAATTTCCAAGACCCTCAATCTAGGATGTTATTATTTCATAGTTAACCCACGTTCCTTCATGCTAGAGCTCGGCTCATAGTCATACAAATTTGTGATAGAGCTCGGCTCATAGTCATACTACATTTTGCTAGAGCTCGGTTCATAGTCTTTCTACATTTTTGCTAGAGCTCGACTCATAGTCATACTACACTTTGCTAGAGCTCGGCTCATAGTCATACTACGTTTTGCTAGAGCTCGGATCATAGTCATACTACATTGTGGTAGAGCTCGGCTCATAGTCACACTACCACGTGCTAGAGCTCGGCTAATAGTCACGTTATCTAATCTCTAAACAATTTCTTAGTCTAGACTCAATCCATTTTGAGTAGCCCTTAAGGCCTACTCCTAATGTTACTTGGAGCTCATAAAGTCCATCTTAAATTATCCCCTTATGGTCACTTAGGGCATACTCATCACAAATTTAATATCTTAGGATTAGTTCTTCGATTATTCGAACTATCCTTCCGACTAGTATTTCAATACTAGTCAATTGACCTTAGCACAACCGAATTCTTAATTCATAGTTATTTGTTCATTTCAATTTAATTCTGCATCCAAGTATAAGTTGTCTCTAATATCAACATGTCACTTTATCCCTTCATGACTTCTTTACATGAAGTAAAAGTACGTTAATCACAATAAACTTTATGGTGAGAGCAACCATCATGCCATCATATTTATAACACATAATCATACATAATTGATTCCTAAATTTGTATATTATGCATTCTTTTCTTACCCAATAATAATTTTTTTTAGCCATTATTAATCATTAATAATCCATGCCAACACATTTAATTCATTTAGGTAATCTTATGAAATTAACCCAACAATTATAAGCTATATAGTCGGTCATCCTCACCTCAAATGAGCTTTAAACCTTTCCTTCTCGATCCAATGGTCAAAGCTTCGATCAAGGTGGATGAAGAACTGATTCCTTGCTTAGAAATGAGTTTTAAACAGCCTTCCCAAAGTGCTATCTCAACCTCTAATCATTGATACGAAAACAGCCCCTGGAATGGGTGTTTTCCGGCGACTCGTTTCCTAGTTTTTCCAAGGTTTGTTCTAGGTTAGTATCTAACCTTTACGTCAATAAAACAACTTCATAAGGACATATTATACAATTTAAATAGTGTAAAATAGTTACACCAATCGTTCATATCATTTGGAAAACTGAAGAAAGAGTTTGGGATCAAAACTCACTTTAGAGGAGCAAATCCGTTTTCTGCGAGGTTGTGTTTTCTTCCAAGGATTTGGAAGCCTTTCACTACTCAGATTGATCCAAACCAGACCTTGATGGATTCCTCTTCTTGAGATCTTTCTCTGGGCACCTCACACTCATTATTTGGTTGAGTATTGCACGAGATATGAAGCAAACAAGTAACCTTACGCACTGGAATTTCACCCTGCGGACAGCTTGCTCTTTCCTTTGTTTTCTTGGTTGTGTGTCTCTCTACTTCTCTCTTATCTCTGGGAGTTATAATGAGGGGTTGTGGGAGTGTTATCTTGTAAGTCACTTAGCCTCCAAAGTCAATGGGTAAGGGTGGGTTGGCATGTGGGATGATGTAGCAAGATATCTTCCAATCAAAATGGGGAGAGGGTCCATTTGGTTCTCTAATAATGTCTTGATAAGACCCCTCCCTTATTTTGTGTGTCTAAATTCGTGGGTTGGTCCCCACCCATGTGGGAGGTCAACCCTTTTTGTCCAGAAGTGTACAATCGGTCCCGAAAGTTGTATTTTTCGGACTGTTTTAAATATATTTTATTTTATCAGGTCAAATAAAATATATTACGTGTTCTCAATGATTATGACCCTTATAGTGAATATACATTCCCCAACTTTAATTTATACACCTCCGAAATTCATTTCGGGCTATACCAAAACTGGTATTTGAGCCAGTTTTGACCAAACGGTCCAATTATATCTTTTCATTGGCCCAAATAAATTATCCCACACTATATAAATATTATCTCGACCAAGATAAATAAAATATATGGTCTCGGGAATATCGGGCGGCCCCCGCTCCTGGTGTGGGACCCACGTGCAAATTTACTATTCACACGAAGGAATTAATAAAATTTCACAACTTTGTAAATTCATTAATCATTCCATAAGGTTCAATACATTATTCACTTAAGAGTAAATATATTTGGGAACGGTGTTACAATGTGTGTGGCGTATAGACAGCTTCCCCTTCCTCTTAGTGAGTGATAGTGTTTGAGTGACTGTGAGGTGTGATTCTGTGAGTGAGGCAGTTTGCTATAGTTTTCTTCATCCATGAGAGTTTCCTCTTTGTGAGTGAGAGCTAAAGAGGTGAGATTAGAGTGAGCTAAACTTGGTGAATGGTGGAGTGGCTAAATAATCCTGGGGTGGTGTGTGTGAGTTGTTTTGGTTGGAGACTTGAGCTGATATACGCACCCAAATAGTAGTATCAGAGCCGGATTCTGCCCTCCGCCGCCGTCCGCCGCCACCCATTGTTGTTCGCCGACGATTCAAGGTCACCGGAGGCTTCCTGCTGTCCCTGAAGCTTCGTCACTGCTCGTTCGCCGTTCGCACGAGCTAGGTGCTTTGTCTGCCATCGATTGGGAGACTGGAAAGACGTCGCTTGTCACCTATTTTCAAAAGTGCGCTAGGTTAGTGGGTTTTCTCTAAAACAGGAGATTTGTCGCTGGAGATTGCCGGGCCATTCGCCGTCGACTGGAGGTCGTGAACTTCGTCAACCGTCCATTTCTCTGTCCAGTCGTCACTAGGGAGTCACCGTCCACCATTGAGGTCGCTGTCTGGATCTATGTTCGTCCGCCAAAGCTGTCGTTATCTCTGGAGGTCCTTGACTCATGTTCGTCGCCAATCGCTGTCATTTGCCGCTGGATTTACAGCTCGTCGCTGGACTGGTGCTGAACGCAAAAGGCCTTGACGCAGTAGCAAAGTCAGGGACGAAGCATCTCTGGAAGTCTGGGACCGCTGCAGAAGTCAGAACATTTCCCCTAGACTAGAACCGGATTCGGGCTGCTGGTCTGCTCAGTTGCTGAACTTGTTGGACTTTGAGCTGGACTTGGAGTTTGATATTGGGGATGGACCTGGAGTAGAGGAAGTCTGGGTCAACTGCTCAGTCAAACTCGGTCAAAGCTAGTCAACAACTTGTATGTTTGTCACGCTGAACCCGTACTTGATTCTGTGAATTGTGTGCAACCTTGTGTTCTAGGAAAACAGTCTAGAGTTGGTTTTCCTGATCTGCCTAAGTGTTCTGATGTGCTTGATTGTATTCATGCTGATTTGTGGGGTCCTTATAGTGTTTCCACTCGTGGTGGGAAAAAATATTTTCTGACGATGATTGATGTTTTTGCAAAGAAAGTTGTGGGTTTTGTTGATTGAAAATAAATATGATGTTTTTAATGAGTTTAAGAACTGAAAAACCCTTGTTGAAAATCAAACTGGTAAGAAAATAATGTGCTTAAGGACAAATGTCAGTTTTGATTTTTGTGATAACCAGTTTGGTGATTTATGTGATACTTGGTGTATTTGTATGCATAAATATGTTCCCTCCACACCTTAACCGGATGGGGTTGCTGAGAGGATGGTTAGAACTTTATTAGAGAGGGTGAGGGCTATGTTAGCTTCATCTGGGCTCTCTAATAAGTTTTGGTGGGAAGCTATTTGTTATGTTGCTTATTTGTTTAATATGTCCCCGTCTATTCCCTTAGGAGGGAAATGCCGTGAATCTGTGTTCATGGGCAAACCGCTTAATTTGCCAAATTTGAGAGTGTTTGGTTGTGTTGCTTGTGTGAATCATGAAAATAATGAAACTGAACGTAGGACTAAGGAATTTGTTTTCTTAGGATATCATGAATGCATGAAACGTTATAGGCTTTTGTGTAGGAGTGAAACTTGTTTTAATGTGTTGATAAGTAGAAATGTCATTTTTGTTGAAAATGAATTTTCTTGCTTGCGTGTTTCTCCTGATGTTGCTCTAAATGAGGTAGAGCATTTGCCTGTTGAAGTTTATTCTGATTTACTTCTTGAAACCAAACCCAAATTTGTGAATAAAAATGATTTTCATGTTGAAAATGAAGAAAATAATATTTCTATTAAGGTGGAGCTTGATATGAGTCTTGTGTGCAATATGCTTGAGTTGTGTGATTGCCATGCTATTAGAGATAGAGACATTATGGTGCATGAGAGAAATAATAAGTGCAAAGTGTTTGACTATATTTCCTCTGAGTTTGCTTTAGATGTATTTAATTCTCTATTAATTAAAATCTTTGTGATATTTGGTATATATGCTATTTTCTTTGTGTTTTGAAAATGTAATACCAAGTGATTATGTGAGCTCTACCTTTGCTAGTTATAGAAATAATATTGTTTCTTTTATTTTCTTTGTACTTGCCTTATGTGGTTGTTGGATTAGTTGGAATCCCCAACTTCTTCCGGTTGTTTGCTTGCGTGGTCTATTAACATGTGTTGTGTTTGTTAATAGTTTTGTGATGGTTTCGGTTCTGAACTCGAGGACCAAATGGTAGAGTTCAGTCCATTACGAATTGGGTTTGCATGGTAAGCTTGGTCCGAAAGGGAACTTTTGTTCTCATCTATTACTTGATTATCGGAATGATGTACTTGTAATGGTTCAGCGATGATGAGTCTCCTCACAACTGTGTATTTATTACTCTACACCACCTAGGACCAATAAGGTGAAGAATGTTGGAGGTATTTGTGGATCGTTGCGCTTACCGCTACACTAAAAGCAATCGCTGATAGTGCAACACGCTCCTCCCTATTTATAGCACATGCGAAGCGCCACACGGTTCGATTGCACTGGCAGGCTGGCAGCAATCACCGCATACCCGCGGCCCAACAATATTGGTCCTACCAAGGCCTCTCTTCCACTTATTCGTGTTAAGGCCTGCACACTAAGTTTAGTCGTACTCCTATTATTTCCTCTTGGGTTTGTTCACTACCGAATCACATGGCCTTGTAATTGTCTTGCCCGTTGCTATCCTATCCACTGTCTTTATTGGGCTCCCCTTGGTTTGTCTTACTCTTATAGTTGATTAGTAAGACATCTTTTCCTTTGCTATAAGATCGAGTTGACTCTTATCATAGTAATGTGTGTGACGTATAGACAGCTTCCCCTTCCTCTTTGCGAGTGATAGTGTTTGAGTCACTGTGAGGTGTGATACTGTGAGTGAGGCAGTTTGCTAGAGTCTTCTTCATCCTTGAGAGTTTCCTCTTTGTGAGTGAGAGCTAAAGAGGTGAGTTAGAGTGGGCTAAACTTAGTGAGTGGTGGAGTGGCTAAACAATCATGGGGTGGTGTGTGTGAGTTGTTTTGGTTGGAGACGTGAGCTGAAACACAAACCTAACATGAACTCGTTTTTTTCAATAATCGCACAAGTGCACAACCACTTCATGCACCAATGTTAGTTGGACGGATCTAGTATATTCTAATGAACATTGTAGTAAGGATGAAAAGTATTTGAAAAAAATTATAATATAATTATATATAATCGTTATAAAATGAGCATTATTGTCTATTGATCGAGTTATGGAATGACAAAAATGCATGGTTGTATGAGTACATGTAAGTGTCCTATTTCGTATAACTTATCACACTTTCGCGTATAACATACAAGTACGTTTTTGCTTGAGAAAGTAATGAACATGCATTATGCAATTTAGACTTTGTTTAGCATCCGTGAGGATTTATAATTTTTTTTATGAGTGTAGAAGTTATATTAATAGTGATCATTAATTGTTTGATAAATTGGTTGGACTTAATTAGAAGTAGAAATGTATACTAATTTAAAAGTTTGATCACGTATTTTGAAAAGTAGACACTACTCTATAATTGACTTAGCTTTCAAAGGTGAAGAAGTATTTTGTTTCCATTTTTCATTTTATATTGGAATGAATTGATGACAAAAGATAAGGATACACTACCAGGTATATGTGTTCGGTGTCATTATGGCATTGAAGATTATATTCTTTATTTTAGGAGTGAATATATTTGTATGTGTAACTCCAATTATTATAGTATCTATACAATTGGCTATTATAAATAGCATTTAGATTCTTGGCATTAGGCTCACACAAATGAATTCGGCCGCCTAGCTTGAAACATACGTACTATAACTCACTCTTTTCTTAGTTTCTTCTTTCCGGAGCTGATAAATTTGCCATGGCGGCTAAGCTCCTACTCCGCCGCTTCTCACTTGTTGTGCTCATTATTGTCTCCGTTCTCCCCCGTCCCAACTTCGCCGACGACCATTTGTCGGAGATTTTCTACTGCCCGACATGCCCGAAGGCGCTTCCCATCATCAAAGCCGCCGTCGTCAAAGCCGTGAAGGCGGAGGCTCGGATGGGGGCATCTTTGCTTCGCCTCCATTTCCATGACTGCTTCGTCAATGCAAGTCTCTTAGCTTCTTTTTTAATTTTTATCTTCTTTTTGGTTTTATTTTTTACTCTAGTTCCACAATAACTGGCATACACGAAGTATTCCTTTTCCGAAAGTTTTGTGTTCTTTGACCAAATA